CAAAATCAATCCTGAAAATATGCGAACATGCCAGCGTGATCCACGTGAAATTATTGAAGTACTGTGTGCCAGTAACTCATCTCAGTTCCTGTGTGCGAATGGCCGTTGTATTCCGAACGAATGGAAATGTGATGGCGAAAATGACTGCTTGGATGGCAGTGATGAGGTTGTTTTTTTTTAATTTAAAATTTTAATTATTACCAAATATTAGAGTTAAAAGTGGATTTGGTTTTAAAATCTTTTTTATGCAAGCGATCTGCTGTGCGATACGCAGTAGAGCCAATGATTAGCCTCGCGTAATGAGGTTTGACGCTCTTTTGGGGATAGTTGTTTGAGTAAATAGTGGGTTAGTGTAATATGGCTTCCAGGTTGCGTAATTTCAGAATTCCACGTGTTTTATTATCTCCCTGGCGGAGCTCCGATTTGAACCTGAGATACACCACACTTTTATCGGAAAAGTGTGGATCATAGTTCCCGTTCTTGCCTGTTGTGCAACCACATTACAGGGGCATTTTTCGCCCGTGCTCACTAGACACGTGGACATGACAAGTAGTCGAAGATTCGCTGCTTCGATTCCCGTCTGAAGCCGTGTTTGAAAAAATTCAGCTTCAAAAAATGTTTCGAACTAAAACTACAGTATTCTTGTGTTGCGCATATTTCTACTAGTCCGAATATATAAACACAAAAGAGAAGTAAACCGAAGCAAAATCGCGTTATTTCTCTTTTTTATAAGCAGTATGAAAAGGAAGGCGGAAATTATGCCAAGCTTAAAATCAGAGTTATTTCTTATTGCTGTAAAATTACTCCATACACTCCTTGATGTTAGTGAGATGCAGTAACATGTATGCTCATATCAAGTAGCTTTTCCTCGTTTTGGCTGCCTCCATTGCCGCGTTCTATAATCTAAAATATTCGTGTTCCATTCAAACAAATATTGTTTATAATTTTACCAAATGCCTTCTAACAATGTGTTATATGCAATTTTCTTAGAAAGGGCCTGATGGTAAACCATGTTTCGTTGAAAAGGAGTGCCCTCCCAATACAATTCGCTGCAACAATACGAAAAAATGCATACCACAGCAGTACGCGTGCGACGGTGATAACGACTGTGGTGATTATTCTGATGAAGATGTTAAGGTAAAAACAACAAAAAATTCCTTTCAGTTTTTGGCAGTTTTGATCATTTTTAGTCCTGGCTTCGGGCTCCGCCTTTCATTGAGAACGAATATGAATGAGGTTTTTGACTAAGAAAGAACATTCGGAAGAACTTAAAAATGGAATCCTGTGCAGAAATCAAGTGTTTGGAAACTAATCGTACACAGCTTTGAAACAATGCGTCTTTGCATACGACCACTGTTCATCATAGACTTCTTAAGGACGTTCTTTTTCTTAAAAAGTGTGGGCACATCTTCCTCGCCCTTTACGAACGCCCAATAAGTTGTATTATCTTTTAGCTTTTTCGTTTTCTCAGTTTTTGGCCTTAATTCGAGTTTTCCTGAGGTATTATTTTTTTACAGTACTGCAAAAATGGTGAAATTCCGGTTTGTGCTGCGCGGAAGTTCCAATGTGATAATCACCGATGTATCCCGGAACAGTGGAAATGCGATTCGGACAATGATTGTGGCGATGGATCGGATGAGAAGCTTGAAATGTGTGCCAATACGACCTGTTCTTCGAACCAAGTATGCTTTTCACTGGTCAGGAGTGTTAGCTAAATGTAGGCTTGTCTACGTTACGTGCTTGTGTTACCTCCCACAAAATTCCTACCCGTCATGAGGTCATC